TCATTTCTCTTGAGTAGAGTCCTAGGAATGAAACGTCTGGGTTGTACTGAAAATTCACGTTTAACTTTTTGAGGAACTGCCAAACTGTTTTCCAAAGGGACTGCACCATTTTCCATTCCTCCCAGCAATGTATTCAGCAGTTCAGTTTCTCCATATCCTCACCAGTGCTTGTTATTGTCTGTCTTTTTGATTATAGTCATTCTAGTGAGCATGAAGTGATGTCTCATTTTGGTGTTGATTTGCATTTCCTAAAAGACTAATGATGTTCAACACCTTTTCATATGTTTATTAGCCATTAGTATAACTTCTTTGGTGAAATGTCTGTTCAGATACTCTGCTCATTTTTAAATTGGATTGTGTATCATTTTATTATTGAATTTTTAAAAATTTAAAAATGTTTATATTTATCAGATATATGATTTGCAAATATTTATCTCCCGAATAATTTTTTCCCTGTGGCTTTTCTTCTCACTTTCTTAATGTATCTTTTGAAGCACAAGTTTTTAACTTTGATCAACTTCAGTTAATCCTTTTTTTCTTCTTTATGGTTATGCTTATGCTTCTGATGCTCGTATCTCAGAAAAGACAAGGATTAAAACTACTTTTCATGGAATTGTGATATTTGCCTTATTTTCAGGACTAGTCTGGTGATCAGACTATTGTGTGAGTTTTGTTGAAATGTATAATGCCTTGCCTCTGGGTGATGGCCTCATTGTTCCAGAGTCCTTTGGGCAACTATTACTAGAGAGGCAGAGTAATATTGATCAAAAGTGTAGGCTTTGGGGCCTGACTACCTGGGTTTGAATTTTAACTTCATCCCTTCCTAACAGTGTTACTTTGGGAAAGTGGCTTTATTTCTCTGTGCCTCAGTTTCCTCATCTGTAAAATGGGGATAATACTATTGGGTTGGCCAAAAAGTTCATTTGCTTTTTTCCGTAAGATCTTACGGAAAAACTTTTTGGCCAGCCCAGTACTTTGCTCGTAGGGTGTTTGTGTATATAAAGTTCATAAGAAATGCCTGGGGCAGAGTAAGGCTCAAGAAATATTAGCTCTTATTATTAGGGGAGCAATTCTCAACTGTAGTTTGGGGTGGGGTTGTGCATATTGGAATCATTTGTGGGGCTTTGCATGCCTTTCTAAAGTGACAGATTCCGCCATGGGTTACAGCAGCTGGGATGATAAGTATTGCACGTAGCCTTCCTTGACACATTTAAAGTTGATTGTTCCTTAAAATCACTTTCATTAAATGAGGCAGTTTGGGTTGATGTGTAGAATTATAAAACTCTTCATCAGATGTAAAAATAGCTCAAGCTCCATTAACACTTAGAAAATGAATAATCTATTAATTCCTCTTGCCAAGGCAAAAATCAGGCAGTCTTAGGCAAACCAAGAGCAGGATATAAGCTATCTGCATTTGATAAATACATTTTTCTGCTTTTGGGGTGGTTTATTAGTCCAGGGATCAGATTATGGGATAAGAACTTGTAATTCAGAGATAGAAGAATTCCTGCTTTGCTCCTGTTGGAGGATAAGGTTCACAACTTTTTTTTTCTTGTCTTCATTTGAAAAATGAGTTTAATGAAATTTGAGACCTAATTATCTTCAAAAGGGATTCATGATCTGATATGGGACTACTATCAGAATATATAAAGAATCCTTATAACTCAACAGTAAAAAGACAGAAAATGGGCAAAGGATTTAAATAGACATTTCTCCAAAGGGGATGTACAAATGTCCAACAGGGACATGAAAAGATGTTCAGCATCATTGGTCAACAGTGAGAAGCAAATCAAAACCACAATGTGATATCACTTTACACCTACTAGGATGACTACAGTAAAATTTAAAAAGGAAAATATTAAGTGTTGGTGAAAGTGTAGAGAAATAGGAACCCTTGTACATTGCTGCTTGGAATGTAAAATGGTTCATTTCCTGTGGAAAACAGTTTGGTGCTTCCTCAGTAAGTTAAACATAGAGTCATCATAGGACCCAGCAATTCCACACCTTAGTATATATCCAAAAGAGTTGAAAACATACGTCAACATGGATGTTGACACAGATGTTTTTTAAAGCTGCATTATTAATAATAGCCAAAAGATGGAATCAATCCAAATGACCATCAAGGGATAAATGGATAAACAAACTGTGTTATATGCATACAGTGGAATATTATTGAGCCATGAAAAAGGATGAAGTACTGATATATGCTGCAACTTGAATGAAGTTTGAGAACATGCTAAGTGAAAGAAGCCAGACACAAAGGTCATATATAGTATGATTCCTTTTATTTGCCATATCCATTGTAGGCAAATCCGAAGAGACAGAAAGCAAACTAGAGGTTACCAGGGGATGAGCAATGGGAAATAGGGAGTGATTATTTAATAAGTATGAAGTGTTTTTATGGGGTGCTGAAAAAGTTTTCAAACTAAAGAGAGATGGTGGTTGTACAAAATTGTGAATACACTAAATACCATTAAATTTTGTATACTCTAAAATGGTTAATTGTGTGCTAAGTGAATTTCTTGTCAGTTTAAAAGTGGGGGAGACAAGTTTTAAAGTGCAAGGAATGATTATGCTAGAAAAGGATGACCATATTTGATGTGGCTACTCCAGTGTCTGGATACCTCTCCAAATTCATTTTTCACTCATCTTTGCTTGGGACAGTTAATTCTTTTTTTAATAAGTTAGTTTCTTTCTTTCTCTCTCTCTTTCTCTCTTTCTTTCTTTCTTTCTCTTTTTCTCTCTCTTTCTCTCTCTCTCTCTCTCTCTCTTTCTGCATTGCTGCACGCGGGCTTTGTCTAGTTGTGGCGAGAGGGGGCTACTCTTCATTGAGGTGCTCTGGCTTCTCATTGTGGTGGCTTCTCATTGCAGAGCACAGGTTCTAGGCGTGCGGGCTCTAGAGGGCAGGCTAAGTAGTTGTGGTGCACGGGCTTAGTTGCTCCGTGGCATGTGGGATCTTCCCGGACCAGGGCTTGAACCCATGTCCCCTGCATTGGCAGGTGGATTCTCAACCACTGCCCCACCAGGGAAGCCTGGGGCAGTTTGTTCTTACACAAAATATTTTACCTGAAAATACTGCAGTGTCTGCTAAGATAGAAACTTTTTTATAAAGAGTATATTATCTTTGGGGAAGCCTATAAGAGGCCCAGTTGCTCTGGAACTAATAAAGCTGATGAGGAACAGAAGCTATTCTTAGAACCTGTAATTAGGTAGCATTCTGTTTTTCCTGGGCATAACATTTTGTCAGGCTACCAGTTCATTTTTTTAAAAAATATTTCTTGAAGTGAAATTCGCCTAACATAAAATTAACCATTTTAAAATGAATGATTCAGTAGACTTTTGTGCATTAGCAGTGTTGTGTAAGTACCAACTCTGTATCATTCCACATGTTTTCATCACCTCAAAGGGGAATCCCATACCCATGAAGCACATCCTTGCCAGCACTTGTTTTCCACTTTTTTGATTATAGGCAGCCTGATCGGTGTGAAATGGTACCTCATTGTGGCTTTGATTTGCATTTCTCTTAATGACTGAAGAAGTTGAACATCGTCATCTGCCTGTTGGCCATTTGTGTTTCTTCTTTGGAGAAATATCTACTCAAGTCCTTTTTCTTTTTCTCTTTTAAAAAAAAAAAATTAATTAATTAATTTTTGGCTGTGTTGGGTCTTTGTTGATGAGTCTATGTTGCTGCGTGCAAGCTTTCTCTAATTGTGGTGAGCGGGGTCTTCGTTGTGCGTGGGCTTTTCATTGTGGTAGCTTCTCTTGTTTCAGAGCTCGGGCTCTAGGCATGCAGGCTTCAGTAGTTGCGGCATGTGGGCTGAGTAGTTGTGGCTCACGGGCTCTAGAGCACAGGCTCAGTAGTTGTGGCACATGGGCTTAGTTGCTCTGTGGCATGTGGGATCTTCCCGGACCAGGGCTCGAACCCGTGTGCCCTGCGTTGGCAGGTGGATTCTTAACCACTGCACCACCAGAGAAGTCCCTTTTTCTTTCTTTAAATCGAGCTGTCTTTTAGTTGTTGAGCTTTGTACATGCTCTTTATATATTATGGGTACAATATGACCCTTGTCAGATGTATGGTTTGCAAATATTTCTCCCATTCTGTAGGTTGTCTTTTTCATTTTTTTTTTTTAACTTTTTACTTTCTATTGGAGTATAGTTGATTAACAGTGTTGTGATGGTGTCTTTTTCACTTTCTTGGTAGTCCTTTGATACACAAAAGTTTTAAAGTTTGAAGTCTAATCTGATTTTTCTTTTGTTACCATACTATTGGTGTCATATCTAAGAATCCATTGCCAAATCCAAGGTCATCGAGATTTTCCTCTCTTTTTCTTCTAAGAATTTTATGATTTTATGGTTTTAACTCTTATATCATTGATCCATTTTGACATAGGTTTTGTGTATAGTATACGGTATGGGTTCACATCATTCTCTTGCATGTAGATATTCAGTTGTCCCAAAATCATTTGTTGAAGAGACTCTTCTTTCCTCATTAAATTGTCCTGGAAGCCTGGTTGAAAATCAGTTGGTCATGAATGTGTGGGTTTATTTCTCTGCACTCAATTCTGTTCCTGTAAGGAACGGCACCAAGAAACGGGGGAGAGCTTAAACAAGCTTTATTTGGGAACGCTCCAGGGCGAGGTTCACTGGTCTGAGAGAAAGGGGCCAGAGAAGTCGCGCCCGGGCAAGGGTTTGGGCAGAATTTATAGGGGAAGAAGGGAAAGGGGTATGGTGAATCCGGGAGGGCGCAGGGTATTCCTTATTTGGTGGTCTTTTCGGGTATCGTGGGGGACCGTTAGTCCCGGCCCTCTAAAGGCGGGAGGGCCGGGCCGGGTGGAAAGTCCCCGGGTCAGTTCCTGGAACTGGGTGGTCCGGAAAGTCTCCAGGTCAGTTTCAACCTGTGAGTCTGATTGCGTTCCCCTGCCTCGGCCAGTTGGCCTTACAGTTCCTACCATGTACTTTTGTATGGGCTGAGTTTCTTGTTTTTCTCCCTTTGATAATAGGATCACGGGGTTGATAGCACCATTTTCCAGAATCCTAAAAAGCTTCACCTAACTATTGGGATGTTGGTGCTTTTGAGTGAGCATGAGATCCAGCAGACATGTGAGATGCTACAGCAGTGTAAAGAGGAATTCATTGAGTGAGTAATCCACAGGAGTGGGGAAGGGTGGTCACCCTGTACTGGCTTCTTTCTGGTATCACAGACTTGTTTTTGGACTAGGGAGCTGGGTGACATGGGAACAAAATTTGTTTTCTCACCCATTTGTAACACTTAACATTGGATTATTGTCTAAAAGGTTTAAAATGGATTTAAAGCATATATTTACAGATTTGTGTGGAAAGGCTCTACCTTAAATTTTACCAGTTCAGTTGGCAAATTTTGTTCTTTAACCAGGACATCCCATTCTTTTCTCAAAAAGGAAATTCTCTTCATTATCTATAGAAGAGTATAGGCTACTGTATTAGTTTTCTGTGCTGCTGTAACACATTACTACAACCTTGGTGGCTTAAAATAACACAAATTTATAATCTTACATTTCTGTGGGGCAGAAATCTGATAGGGGTTTCACTGGGCTAAAATCAAGTTACTGGCAGGGTTGTGTTCCTTTCTGGAGGCTCTAGGGAAGAATCTATTTCCTTGTCTTTAAAGTCCTGATTTAGAGGCCACCCACAGTACTTGGCTAGTAGCCTCCTTCCTCCATCTTCAAAACTAACAATGTTGCATCTGTTTGACCCTCAATCTGTTACATATCTCTCTCTCTGGCCACAGCAGGGACAGGTTCTTTGCTTTTAAGGATGTGTGTGATTTAATTGAGCCCACCCAGATAATCCAGAGTAATCTCCCCACCTTAAACTCTTTAGCCTTAATCACATCTGCAAAACCTTCTTTGCCATGTAAGGTAGTATATTTACAAATTCCAAAGAATAGAACATGGGCATCTTTGGAGGGCCCTTATTGTGCTTACCATAGTAACTCAAACATTGTAACATGATTCCGTAGGAGAGTCTTCACTGTATTTCAGAAATGCAGTCTTTAATTTTCTAAAAAGGTAGTTTTGTTTGAGTCAGTAAGGATACCAAAAACTGTCCAAGCAGTCGGTTTTGGCTCAGGGAAAACATTGCTGTTCTGACGACAGAGTTGTTATTCTTTTTACTGTAAGATTTTAATTTGCATATACATCTGACCTAACAGCTCTGTTTCAAAGGATCATCTCTTCTGAGCCCCCCCTTCCTTTGCTCCTTTTACTTAAGATTGAAGCAAACCAAGAGGAACTTGAAAATTAACTGACTTGAATAGTTTTATTTTTATTCAGTTGTAAAATACAGGTCCTATACTATTCTGACATGGCCTTGTAGAAGTGGGTTACCTGGTTCATTGGGTAAAAAAATGTAAAAGGATTTAAATTTTTTCTCAAGTTATGTTGTATATGAAACTGTAATACAAAGACTTATTTGTGGGCCAGTTCTCTTTTTTCCATTAATTGTTTTGAAGACAGAATATTTTTCTTGAGCAAAATCATAAGCTGATTGTGTTTGCAGCTGCCTGTTCTTTCTGAATTTCAAACAGCAAAGAATACTTCTTTGTCTTGTTCTTTGCATAGTGATGGGCAACTATTTTCTCTCTGTCTTACCTAAAATTCAAAATAATTTGGTGTTTGTAATTAGATATTTACAGTTTTCCTTGCATAAAATAAAATTTTATGCTTTACCTTACAAAGCAGAGCAATTTTACCTTGTTTAAAAAGCACTTCTGATACTTTAACTTCCCAGATTACTTTTTGCTAAACAAAACTGAAAGCAGCTGCATTTTTTGGCTGCCATTAGGATAATCCTGCTAACAAAAAAATTAAAGGCGGATAAAATATTTGTTCAGAGAAGTATTTGGTTTTTTACCTTATGAAAATCAGGTCACAGGATTTTAATCACTGAAGCCTTATCCTGAGCTATGTGAGGATTTAGTTGAGTTCCTCCCTTTTATGTCTCTTGGTGTCTTTTGTGACTAAATGCCAAATCTGAACCCTTTAAGCGTGTCAGAGTTGGTGTGCATAGGGAATGAAGAGCAGCCTTAATAGTTCCTAAGAATTTTTGACATGACAGGATGAAAACAGTAATTGTAGTTTTTCAGATTCAGCAAAGCTTTTGAAATAGGACACGTTACCCTGCCAAAAATCTGCAATGCAGGCAAAAATTTTTTTAAGTTGCTCTTTTCAAAAAGCTGGAAAGGTTTGAAACCAGCAAGTAAAGCAGGCCTCCCCAGCCTTCTTCTCTCACCTTCCCTCTGTTATACACACTTGTTTTAAAAGTATATAGTGCAAAATTAATCTACCTGATTGGCTAGGGGGGTGAGAATCAGAATTGGTTGTTTGTATTGTCCAGAAGTGCCCTGTTTTCCTAAAAGGAAGAAAAGTCTCCTAAAAAAAAAAAAAAAGGATACTTATAATAAAGTATGTACCATGTACCAAAATGTTCATTGCAGCTCTATTTACAATAGCCCGGAGATGGAAACAACCTAAGTGCCCGCCGTCGGATGAATGGATAAAGAAGATGTGGCACATATATACAATGGAATATTACTCAGCCATAAAAAGAAACGAAATTGAGCTATTTGTAATGAGGTGGATAGATCTAGAGTCTGTCATACGGAGTGAAGTAAGTCAGAAAGAGAAGGACAAATACCGTATGCTAACACATATATATGGAATTTAAGAAAAAAAAATGTTATGAAGAACCTAGGGGTAAAACAGGAATAAAGACAGAGACCTACTGGAGAACAGACTTGAGGATATGGGGAGGGGGAAGGGTGAGGTGTGTTAGGGCGAGAGAGAGACATGGACATATATATACTAACAAACGTAAGGTAGATAGCCAGTGGGAAGCAGCCGCATGGCACAGGGAAACCGGCTCGGTTCTTTGTGGCTGTCTGGAGGGGTGGGATAGGGAGGGTGGGAGGGAGGGAGACAAAGAGGGAAGAGATATGGGAACATATATATATGTATAACTGACTCACTCTGTTATAAAGCAGAAACTAACACACCATTGTAAAGCAATTATACCCCAATAAAGATGTTAAAAAAATAAAAAAAATAAAAAAAAAAAGATACTTATAATAAAGCCCTGATGTAAAATGTATCACCTAACTTCTTTTTCTTTCTTATTCCTTTTTTTTTTACATCTTTATTGGAGTATAATTGCTTTACAATGGTGTGTTAGTTTCTGCTTTATAACAAAGTGAATCAGTTATACATATACATATGTTCCCATATCTCTTCCCTCTCCCTCCCTCCCTCCCACCCTCCCTATCCCACCCCTTCTTCCTTATTCTTGATCTTCCATCTCAGTCTTTGTACTTGGTATGCTTAGAAAAAAAATGTCAATAAATAATTGCATTTCTAACCTGAACCTTTTATGATGTAAAGATCGCAAATTAAAATATAAAGGTGGAAAACATTGGAAATGAATAGTCTACTATATAACATGCTGTAGCTTAATTTAATGGCTTTTTAAATTGAGGTATTAAATGTGGCTATATTGGCGTTTAATTAAAATTGTGGTGATACATAGATATTTTAAAGAAATGGGTAGTTGAATGTTTGTTTTAAATTTGGGGGTGGTATTTGAGTTTAAGGTATGTCACCTGACCAGAAATAGAACTTTCATTTCAATTCTTAGGCTAAAGGCTCACGTAGCTGTGTAGATTTCAAATGAATTATTCACGATGTTCAGTATGTGCTGAAGCACTAAATGTGTCCCTTGTGACTTTTCTTTGTGATATGTCGAACACAAACAGTGCCATGTCTCTGAGTATATAGTCTGACAAATGTGCAGCTCTTCTTTAGCTCCCATAACACTCTACTCATACCTAAGTGTTCCCAGTAGGCCTGAAGTAAAACCAAATAAGCAGTTAAAAAGGGACAAGAATGAGGAGAGAAGAGGAAAAATACCCATGGACAAATGTCCCTAATTATTGCCTCATATGTCTCTCCATTGAAGAGTGTGCTCAGTGGTATCCAAGGTGGAATAGTTTGGTCACCAAGACAAAGAGCATTTATCAAGCAAACCATTGGATTCTCTCCCGCTCTTTAATTCTCCCTCTTGATAAATCCTAGGGATAGGTTGAAAGAGTTTGTTTCTACTTGTAAGGCAGACTTTGAATCTGTTTCATTGTTTTGTTTTTGGTGCCACATCTAATTCCAGTGGTTTGAGGTAGTTTAGAGTGAGGACATATATACAAAAGAAATGTTAAAGTCAGGCAGATTAGAAACCATAAAGATAGAATGGGAAGAAAATTCTGTCTAAAAACAGAGGTAAGATAAAAATTGTACTAGAACTTTAACATTTAGTGGTGTCTTCAAGCATCAGTATACTTGAACTATGGGAATTCTTGGCAGTCCAGTGGTTAGGACTTGGCGCTTTCACTGCCGGGGCCCTAGGTTTGATCCCTGGTGGGGGAACTAAGATCCCGGAAGACGTGCAGTGTGGACACACACACACACACACACACACACACCACACACACACACACACACACCACACACACACACACACACACACACACACACACACACTTGAACTAAGTTCCAGAAAGGAAAACACCAATTATTACAATTCTTATCTGATAAAAAGGAACATAATTTTTCAGGAGAGAATCCGTTTCTCAACCCAAGAAAACGTTGTATAAATCTTAACATAAAGAACCCAGATGATGATGAGCTGTGTCTTCAACAGGAGTTTGGCAGAAGATATAAAAACATTGTTCACGTTGCTCTTTCTTGTATTGACCGCTGGAAACTGAGAGTGTAACATTAAATATAACCCAGTAAAAACATTTTAGTGGGAAACTAAACCAGTGGTATGGTGCTTTCTGGTGATCTAACTATGCAAGGTTAGAGCTGAAAAAACATAGAGGAATGTATATTTAGTATTAAATTTTTTTTCCCCAAAAGTTTTGTTGACTGCCCTTTGATAGGATTTAATGGCAGTCTTTCATATTGAATTCTTTGGCTATAACTAGAAATGGAGGTATACTGTATTGGCTGGCTATCTATCTATCTGTTTATTTATTTATTTCTGCATTGGGTCTTCGTTGCTGCGCACAGGCTTTCTTTAGTTGTGGCAAACGGGGGCTGTTCTTGGTTGCGGTGCACGGGCTTCTCATGGCAGTGGCTTCTCTTGTTGCAAAGCACAGGCTCTAGGCGCACGGGCTTCAGTAGTTGTGGCACATGGGCTCAGTAGTTGTGGCACATGGGCTTAGTTGCTCCACGGCATGTGAGATCTTCCTGGAACGGCTCGAACCCATGTCGCCTGTATTGGCAGGCGGATTCTTAACCACTGCGCCAGCAGGGAAGTTTGTATTGTTGATTGAAGCTAAAGACTTCAATCAGATAATAATTCAGAGCTTGACTTGTGTTTTGGAATATCCCACTTATTGGAGGTGGTTATAGGGATACTTATGATAAAGGTCATAATTTTTCTCATTAAAGTACCTGTCTAAAATAGTTGAGTTATTTAGTTTCTTAAAAAATTCTGGTCTTGTGCAACAATAATGGCCTTGGTGTTTTAAGGGAATCTTTTTTTTTTTTTTTTTTGCAGTATGTGGGCCTTTTACTGTTGTGGCCTCCCGTTACGGAGCACAGGCTCCGGACGTGCAGGCTCAGCGGCCATGGCTCACGGGCCCAGCCGCTCCGCGGCATATGGGATCTTCCCAGACCGGGGCACGAACTCGTGTCCCCTGCATCGGCAGGCGGACTCTCAACCAGTGCGCCACCAGGGAAGCCCTTAAGGGAATCTTTTACCATTAGGATTCCTAGGCTATAAAAGGATCTCCCTGGGCCTCAGTTAAATATCAAGAAAACTTTTTTGTTTGGCCTTATTTGGAATTATTTTTTGATTAATCCTAACAGTCTATTGTCTTTGAGCCAGTACCACATTTTATTCAATGACAATATAGGCGTGTGTCCACATTCTCAAAATTGTTCAGGACATCTTCTCCCTTTATAGTGGTACATCCAATCAATGTTTATCAGAGATTTTTGGAGTACCCATTTTATATAAGGCACTGTCCCAGGTGCTGGGGATATAGGAGTAGAAAAGATGGATAGGGTCCCTGGCCTCATGGGGCTTGGAGAAGGCTGTTTGGTGAGCTGATTTTTAGCTGGGTTTCATGTTGTCACAGCAAGGCCTTTAGCATAAGTCTGTTTAAGGGGCCTGGGAAGAAAGCAGGATGGTGGGTTTTACTTAACATAAAAGAAATACATGTTAACTTTAGAAAAGCTAAAAATTGCGGATAAACAGGAATTCACTGGCTGTCCAGTCGTTAGGACTCCACGCTTTCACCGCCAAGAGCACGGTTTCAATCCCTTGTCGGGGAACTAAGATCCCGCAAGGTGAGCAGTGTGTCCAAAAAAAAAAATTGCAGATAAACAAGATATAACTTGTAATATTACCTGAAGATAATTACTATTAACACTTTGGGGCATGTACTTCCACGCTTTTTTGTTTGCATATATGTATTTTTTTTCCTTGAGGTGTAATTTACTTACAGTAAAATGCACAGATGTTAAGTGTAGTTGATGAATTTTGATAAATGTGTACACCCATGTAACTTCACCCAAATCAAAATGTAGAGCATTGCCATCACCCTAGGAAATTACTTCATACTCTTTTCCAGTAAACTCACTTCTCCCAAAAGTAACTGCTATTCTGATTTCTTTTACCACAGATTAAATGTGCTTGTTCTCTAATGTCATATAACTAGAATCATTCAGTATATACACTTCTGCGTTTGGCTTCTTTTGCATATATGTGCAGTATATACACTTTCTGTGTTTGGCTTCTTTTGCATATATTTTTTTATTTTAACTTTTTAATGAATAATACATTTACATGGTTCAAAAATTTTAAAGTACAAAGGATATGCAGTGAAGAGTTTCCTTCCTACTGTTATCCCACCAAGCACCCTGATCTCCTCTCTGAAGGCAACAGATTTTAGCAGTTTCCTTGTATTATATCCTTTCAGAGATTTTATGTATGTACAAGCATATAAATATGTATATATATTAAATTTTTTATCCCCATCTTTTGCACGAATAATGGAATTGATTAAATATTTCATCAGGAGTTGCAAAATGGTGATATTCTAGTTCCATCATTACCTCTACATCTGTCAGTTGGAATTCTTCTGAAAGAACTTCTCTTTATTGGCTGTGGTTGGATATGTATCTGGATTTATAATTATTTCCTTGGGTTTGGCTCCTAGAAATTGAATTGCTTGGGCAAAGTTTTTCTATTCTTGAAGGCTTTTTATAAGTATTGCCAAATTGCTCTTAGAAATGTGATACCAGTTTGCACCTTCACTGTTGTTGTATGAGTGAAATACTGTCTGCAATTTGTAGAAATAATAAGGTAAAACTGGAGAGATGGGCAACGTAGTAAATGTCTTCATCAATCAGAACTGTCATCACTTGGCCTTTTCTGAGACATTTCTTAGACATGCTAATAAACTGGTATTGGCATAAATATAGTGTGACTTTGGAAATACTTGTGGTTCTAGTTTGTGTTCATTAAACATGTATCAATTTTGAAATTAGAAGGACGGTTAAATCATGTTAGTTAAAAAAACCCTCAACAACTTCATTTTTGTAATATTTGACTATGTATATTAACCATGTTTCAAAATATAATAGCCCTCTTAACTTAAACAGTTATAAAAAATCTAATGTTTTTTCCTTTGCAGTGACATTTCTGGGGGCAAACCCCTGGAAGTAGAGATGGCAGGGATAGAATACATGAATGATGATCCTGGCATGGTGGATGTTCTTTACGCCAAAGTCCATATGAAAGATGGCTCCAACAGGTATGTTTCTGGAATACTTCTTTGTTTTAATTGAGAGATGCCTAGAAGAATCCCTGGAAGTTCAGGTAGTTTTGATTCCTTTTCTTTGAGGTCTTATTATTGTAAGGAGTGTGTAAATTCTTTCTTTTTTGAAATAGTAAGTTAATATCTTGCAAGAGGAATTTGTTGTAGGAAAAAGTATCAGACTTTTAGTTTGATAATTATTGAATTACTTGGATGGTAGATATTGATAGTAGCAATCTAGTTTTTATGGAACTCAGTGCCTCCTTCATGTTTTCCAGGATAATAGGAGGCAGGAAGGATGGCATATTAGGATGGTAGTTTCAAAAGTGACATAATGCAGATCTAGTGAATACCAGGGCAAAATAGGGATGATAACAATACACACTTCATAGGATTATTAGAATTAAATTAATATACATAAAATGCTTAGATCAGTGCTTGGCACATACTGACATCATCAAAACATACATTAAAAATGTTTGCTATTTTTAATTTTTGTTATTACCACACCTCGATCCCTACTTGGAATTCTCAGTCTGCAACCCAGGCTATTTTTGAGGCTCGCCTAGGCATCCAGAGCCCTTTGCAATATTAGTACCATTTATTAGTCTGTGCAAGGCCTTTGGTGAGCAGAGGAGCCCAACTTGAATTGGAAGTTTGTTTTTGTGTGGTCTTTTCATTAGGGCAGGGTAGAGTAGAACTCACATTGAACAAAAAACCCTCTAGGGAAAATCTGTGTCTCTAGGCAGGCCCCCAAATTGATTTGCTTTCCTAGAGGATCTCTTGGAAGGTTTCTCTTATCTCAATTTTAATTGATGATCTCAGTTATCTTCTATCTCAATTCCAGTGGAAGTGAATTTTGAGTGTAAGGGAGGAAAAAAAAGATATAGAATCAGTTTTTGTGTGTGTGATGTATGTCAATTATATCTCAATAAAACTGGAGGAAAAAAGTATCCTAATATCATTACTGGGAATTCCCTGGTGGTCCAGTGGTTAGGACTCCGCACTTTCACTGCCATGGGCCCAGGTTCAATCCCTGGTCGAGGAACTAAGATCCTGCAAGCCATTTGGTGCAGCCTAAAAAACAAACAAACAAAAAAGCAAGTTTTGTAAAGTTCCCTCCCCAAATCGCAGTGTCTAAGGGACTTGTACACCTCTGATTTAATTCAATATTAAAACTATTTGAATGCCTTCTTTGTGCAAGGCATTTTGAAAGACCATGTAAATTGATACAGAAATGAGTAAGACATGGCCCAATTTTTTTTTTTTTTTTCTCCCAGTACGCGGGCCTCTCACTGTTGTGACCTCTCCCGTTGCGGAGCACAGGCTCCGGACGCGCAGGCTTAGCGGCCGTGGCTCACGGACCTAGCCGCTCCGCCGCATGTGGGATCTCCCCAGACTGGGGCGCGAACCCGTGTCCCCTGCATCGGCAGGGGGACTCTCAACCACTGCGCCACCAGGGAAGCCCTGGCCCAATTTTTAAGGCACATTCAGTCATTTGTGTTTCTTTATGTGAAGAGACACTGCTCAATGCAGAGGCATGGAGGAGAGGCCATGTTATAATAAAAACACAGTCAACTTTCTTTGTATGATTTCATATATTTTAGATGAAAGATTCCCTTAAAATGCTTGACTGTGAAGTGCCTGACCTTTAAAAGAATGGAACCACTTAGATCAAGTTTTTCCTCTGGAAACAGAGCTGGGACAGTGTAGCTACACTTATTGATAGATCCTTGGATTTTGTAAAACCTGACTGTGTAGCGAATTTGCATTCAAATTACTTAGTAGTCAGCTGTTGCTAAGACTTAAGCATTGAACACAGTGGCTCTTCTGTTCTGTTTCTTACTGTCACAGGCCTCCACCCTTGCCACTTTAGAAGAATAGCTTCCTCACATTATACTGAGAACATGAAGCCAAGTCAACTTCCATCCTTTTTCCCTTACAGTCTACCTGTTTTCATCACACCCACCCCACTCACTTTCACTCTCTTTCTGAAGAATTGCATACATTAACTCTGATGAGGCTAATCCCTTTACTTATTCTGGGACCCCATTCCTTCTTATCTCCTCAAAGACCTGACACCATCAATTATTCCACCCTGCAGGGCATTTCCAGTCCCCTTTTCCCTCAGGCATTTTTCAAATGCCCAGGATGTGAGATACAGTAGACCCTAAGGCTTCTTTCTTATGGAGGAGGCAGATGTTGGTAACTAGAATACACTAGGTTGAGGGCTGTGATTGAGATTCTAGTGGTACATAAATGAGCAGCAAAACTCTGCCCATGTGTGGGCAAATTTTGTAAAGGAAGGCTTCAGAAAGCAGGTTTCTTTACTGAATAAGGAGTTTGCAGGCTGAGGGAGTAGCATGTTAGGAAAAGGGAATAAATACTAAGTACAGATCTAGAGGCAGTGTTATATGCCATGTAAAAGGAATGTTGATTTTCATTGGTCATTTGTTTATTCAACAAAACTTTATTAAATGCCCACTGTGTGCCAGACACTGTGCTAGCTGTGAATATAGAATGGTCAGTAAAGGGACTTCCCTGGTGGTCCAGTGGTTAAGACTCTGCGCTTCTACTGCAGGGGGCTCGGGCTCGATCCCTGGTTGGGGAACTAAGATCCCACATGCCTCTCCGCACGGCCAAAGGAATAAAAAGCAAGAATGGTCAGTAAAGCCAGACACAGTTATTGCCCCCATGTAATTTACAGGCTAATGGAGAAAACAGATGTTAACAACACATAAATATATCATTGCAAAGTGTGATAAAGGTGAAGCAGGGGGAAAATGGTGCTCTTTTTTTTTTTTTTTTTTTTTTTTTTTTTTTTTCTTGCTGCGGCACGAGGGCCTCTCCCTGCCGTGGCCTCTCCCATTGCGGAGAACAGGATCCGGACGCGCAGGCTCAGTGGCCATGGCTCACGGACCCAGCCGCTCCGCGGCACGTGGGATCTTCCCGGACCGGGGCACGAACCCGCGTCCCCTGCATCGGCAGGCGGACTCCCAACCACTGCGCCACCAGGGAAGCCCCCGGTGCTCTTTTAAAGACAGAAAATATGGCAGTTTAGACTGTGGGAGGGCAGGGTAAGGAAAGCCTCTTTGAGGAATTGATACTAAATTGAGGTCTGGAGGAGTGGGATTTTTCCAGCAAAGGGGTGGTGGGCAATTCTAGGCAAAAAAAAATGCAGAGCAAAAGCCCTGTGGCAGGAAAAAGCGTAGCAAACTCCACATATGGATGAGACATAATGAAGGAGAGGTAGGGTCACATGAGATGTCCATGTGAAGAGATTAGAGGGGCTTGGATTGAGGCAGTAGCAAAGATAAGAGAAAAAATAATAAATATAAGCAGAATAAATAAAAAGAAATCCATATCAAGTAAGTCAGGATGGAAGTGCAGAACACTGAAGACAAAGAATTTAAAAGAATTCACCTACAAAGGATTGACAGTTATCCAGACAGTGGACTTCTCAATATCAACAACAGAAGCCAAAAGACAGCGGACTGTTTTCTAGAGAAAATAACTGTCAAGCTGGAATTGTTTACCCAGAAAAAAAAAATCTTTAAAGAACAAAAGTGAAATAACTTTTTGTGTCCAAATGCTGTCTTTCCTTCTTGTTATCCTTCTTTTTCTCAAACAGACTCTAAGATTCTTGGAGGCAGGGGGTTTGTCTTATTCACTATAGAGTATTATGTGATAAAAACAGATTACAGAACAATTTGTAAATATACATTTACTTTTTTCCCCTCAAAAGTGGGAAGAGAGAGCAAGAGAGAAATAAACCAGTTAGTCTGAATATATAAGCATCTTATCAGTGGTTATTTTTGGATAATAAGTAATTTTTTTTCTTTTAGCTTATCTGTAATATTTTTTTAAAATAGAAACAATGTTTGTAAAGCAAGCACGTGTTACAGTTGTTCAGATACACTTGATATACTTTGTCACATGAAGCTCAGTAGTAATCAGCATGTGCATGTAAGTGGTAGAATTATGGTTTGACCTAACTGTGTTTGACTGTAAAGCCTGTGCTCATAGTGGGGCAAAAAAAGGAGATTAAGAATAATTGGAGGGGCTTCCCTGGTGGCACAGTGGTTGAGAATCTGCCTGCTAATGCTGGGGACATGGGTTCGAGCCCTGGTCTGGGAAGATCCCACATGCTACGGAGCAACTAGGCCCGTGAGCCATAACTACTGAGCCTGCGCCTCTGGAGCCTGTGCTCCTCAACAAGAGAGGCCACGATAGTGAGAGGTCCGCGCACCGCGATGAAGACTGGCCACCGCTTGCCACAACTGGAGAAAGCCCTCACACAGAAACGAAGACCCAACACAGCCAAAAATAACTAACTAAATAAATTTATTTAAAAAAAAAAAGAATAATTGGAGACAGACCACTCTTTTGAGAAGTTTGGTGAAAGGAAGATGAGAGAGATGTAGTTAGAGTCTACAACTGTGCAGCTCAACATCACTGTACCATCTTCCAGTTTGCCATCTTCCTTTCATAGCTGAGCTTCTTCTTTTTATATTGTTTTCTCTCATAAAATTAAAGCCTTCCAGATGGGTAAAGTGAAAATTAAATGGCTCCCTTTCCCCCTGCTCTGACTCTCCCTGTGTTCCTCCCCAATAGATTGTAAGCAGAGCAAATACTGCTGAGAGTCACTCTCCGTGCGTATTATTTTATACAAACTGGATCACATTATTCATATTGTTCTATAGTTTGTTCTTTTCATAAAACATAACCTAGACATTACTTTTATGTCAGTGTCTGTAGATCCTATGATCTACTACTACATCAGCCTTTCTAAGCCATAGCTTATATACAGTAGGACTTCCCCTTGCTTAAAAATCTCCCATCATTTCACATCATCCTTTGAATTAGTTCATATTCCTCAGTCTAGCAGTCAGTATCTTCCAGGATGAAAGCAACTTAATATTTCAACTTGATCTTCCACTTATCTTTGACTTGCCCCAAGCCCTAGCCCGCTTCACTGCTTGATGATACTTTGTGTC